CATCTATTTGTGGTTGAGCTTCAGTGGTCACAGTCAATAAGCAGTACTTTTTGCATACATCCTAAACAGTAATACTAAATTTAGATCAGGTGATGTGTTTTTGAAGTACTACTATAACCTTTTCTGCAAACAATTAAATGCTCATAAGTAGAGGAGAGAATATGATCAGGAGTACATCCGTATGTTTTGCATGAGATCTGTAGGATCTTAGTCATTAGTATTACAACATGAGTTCAGAGAATTTTTTTTTTACCTGATCTTTAAACCCTGGTATCAAATATAAAAGCTAAACTCCTTATCTTCTATGTCCCTGGGATCTCCAACAAGATATTTTGAAAATATGTCTCTCGTAATCATAACTGACTCTGCTTTGCTGTTTATATTATTTACTGTTGTGCCGGTGAATAACTACACTAGGCTGAGCAACCTGCACGAACTTTGTGGTGTGTCAGCAATTGCCATTTTATATACTACATTCTCAGCCTATTTAGTTATAGGGTTATGCCCTGAAGTTTGTGCCTTAGGGTACCTAAAAATCATACTACTTCTAGGAAGTGCTTTGCGGCGTAAAAATTCAAGGGTTTGCCTGTGATGTGTTGATCTAAACGTTCCTTAGATGTCTGGGCTGGTGGATAGGTAGGGACATGCTGTGGTACAGTTTAGGGGATAAAAATGCATCAAACACTTCAAGAAACATTGGGACAAATGGATACACCAAGGAGCGTTGTATACATGTGGGAGCAGCTATGTTGGGTCAGATAAAAGTCAAATAATCCATTAACTTATGTCCAGCATCCAAAAGTGGTTGTCTTGGAAGAATGGGCAAATCATATATATACTTCTCCCTGTTGATCTTCCAACCTCTGGTTCTTGTAAGGTTCTTTCTGAGATGAGGAGAGGTGGCATAACAATATTCCTTGCTTTGTTCGCTCTTCTCATAATGATTCAATGTTTGACTGACTTGAAATTTTCAGGGAACTTTATCATCTAGCCCAAAATTTCCCTTCATTTTGATAATAGCTAGCTCAGAGCTCATTATTTTATATGTGGAGTTAAGATTACCTCTCTCCAGCATATGTTATTTTATCTTAACCGGGTTTGAATTTCATCTTCAATTTTATGGCCCAGTTGCTCAGTTGCTTTTCGTCCTTATGCAATTCTCATCAGCCCTCTTCTTGAATAGTGCCGTATGAGCAGCAGACTCTCTCACCAGCCTGCATGCCCGGTTTTCCGTTTGGAATTCTGTCATATCGTATATGATAGGTTTGGATTTTTTTAAATACTACTTTAAACTTTCCTGTAGATAATACATCGAAAATGGCAGACATCCACCCAGGAAGCCATATGGCTTTTATTTTGCTTTTAGAAAAAGGCCTGGGAATGTGATGAATTTTTCTGAGATCTCTTGGATACCCTCAGGAGGGCTCTGGCATCCTTGTGACAGTCACACCAGGTACTCAAGGAAGAACAGAAAGTTCTGGCAGTTAGTCTTGAATTTTAGGAGAGACATCATTGTTTCTCTGGCAATGAAAGGTGATATTTGTTCACACTGTTTATTTTAAGACTACTTCTTTTAAGTAACAAGGACTCTCATTTGTTGGTAATTATTTTCCAAGCACTGTAATATATGTTGAAGTGGAGGAGTCGCAGATTAGAACTTCCTGGAGAAACTGTTCCTTTCTGCCGGTAACAGAATATGAACGGGCGTTGGTATAATTCAGGTCCTTGGATTTCAGCAGCTTGCTTTGAGGCAACTGCCTGGGCTATCGTTTGATATAAAGAGTCATATATTCCATTCTAGCTGCATACTGACAGTGCTTGTACTCCTCCTGCTGCAAACACAGGAAGGCTGGCCAACAAAATTACCGAGCAAAGAATGGTGTCAGCCTCTGTAAAATATCTACGAATTACTGAAATCTGACTTTGTCAAGCATATTTATTGCCGAGGGCAAATTTTGTGGGAGAGGACTTCTACTGATTGTGCACGATGATGAGACACCTTGTACATAAATAACGCTTGCGGAATTGCCCGTCTGACAAAGCCTAGCTGTCCTCTGTGTTCAGTTTCCGTTAGTCAGACGCCACGTTAGCAAAATATGGATCTCAGCTGAGATTTAGTTCAGCAAATTCTGATTGTGTGTGTATTTCGGAACTGTCTTGTAACCTCTTCTTACACGACAGGAGCTAGGGAAGGCTTCTTGCTTTTCTTGTTATAGCTACCCAGTAATCCGTGTTCCTCGTATAGAGACCTGAAAGCACTAGTTAGAATCAAGTGTAGTGTTTCCAGGCACCGTGCAAGTTTTTCCCATGCAGTTACTCCATTGCTCTTTTCTGACTTTCAGACCTCTGCTATTCCTGTCTCCAGCATCTCTTGAGGAGAAGTTGTCAGTTGTGATGGATTGTGCATTCATTTTCTAATGGGGGCAAGTAATCACTAGGGAATAAGCCTCACACACTTGTTTCGCTTGTGACTTGGGTTGAACTTGAACCGATTTCTCCAGAGGAATAGTATTAGAATATTAAATTACTATGTTTCTAGTCTTTTAAGTAACTGTTATTTTATGAATAATACTTGAGATCAGTAAGATCAATTTCTGGTATTCCTGGAGTTCTTTTGCATGATCAGGAAGTAGGAGCTAGTAAAGAATCGTGAGTCTCAGCTGAATAACATTTAATACAAAGTGGGCATGTAATAGTGTTTAATTATTTTTTTTAAACTTTGCGATACATTTATTCCCTTTAAAGTTATCCTGGTTACTCATCTATATGCTCCCAGAAGTGTAAAACACTAAACTTCTTTTGCTTCATATAAATATTGTGGTGTATTAAAACAGTATACAGACCATATGAAATAAAAAAATAGATGTAGAGCTAGTTCTTTACATGCTGCTAAGATTTATTAGATACCTTTTGTTTCAGTGTGTCTGTGATTTAGTAGGCCTGATTTGGAAATCACACTGATGTTGCTCAAGACTAACGAAGAATAACAAGAGTTACATCATTGTTCACCTCGTGAGTGGATTGAAAGGAAACTTCTAGTGTTTCCAGTCACCTATAATACAATAGCCTGCACATAGCAAATGTGCTTTTAGTGTTTATTTGCTAATGTTGTTCATGATATAATGGACCAATTTGGTTTTCACATGAAAAGAGGCTGGCCTGCTACAGTTAAACAAAATAATATGCCTAGATATATCCTCATAAAGTGAGATCATAGTTTGATGGTTTCATTTTGGATGACAATAATTTAGGGTTTCATAAGCATGACAACTTGGAAAATTAATATATGGAAACATTCTGATTTCTGTTCACTTTAATAAACTTCCCATCTTTTTAAGTCGTGTAGTGAATACTGAATTCTCTAACAAGCAAGCAATGCATATCTCCCAGACCTCAGCTGAGAAGATGCAGTAGGGATGGGGAAAATGGTGGCTCGTTAATCCGCATATTTCTCCCTTTAAGGAGGAATACCATAGAGTGAAGGGGGAAGCGCAGAACTTGATTCTGCCCTGCCTACTGGCAGGCACTGACTTGTAGTACAGGGAGATCTCTAGCACATGAAGACACCAGAGGTGTCTCAGTTTAAAAATACGTGGTCAAGAGTGACACAGAGCAAAAAGGGAAGGCAGAGAGCTTTCTGAGCTTGGAAACCATTGTCCATTAGACTAAACTGTGAATGGAGTGAGCACTGGATTGAAGAGTGAGAGCAGAATGAATGAGAGAGGAATGTGGGGACGCTACTGAATCTTAGAGAACACTCAAGAAAAATTTGCATGTCAGTTTTGTCATTTTTTTCTGTGGATTTGTATACCTTTTGGGTTTTCTTAAAATAATGTGTGATTTACTCTAGCAGCCTCTATCTTATGTAAGTCTTCACTTGATCCTTGACATCTCTACCACCTGAGTGATGAGCTAGTTCTCTGCTTTTGTTCTTGATGGGCATGCAGGTTTATCCTCCAGGCGCTTTTGCTCTGTGTGTACATGTGTGTTGCTGGGGTGGGAGAGGTTGCTTATGAGTTTCTACCTAAACCTCAAAGGTTTTACTTCAAAATTGATTGTTTCTACATTCTCATTTTTTAGAGAATATAAATACAAAATTTACTATCCTGAGTTACTAGATGTTAGTGCTAAATGAATCAGATAAATTCTGATAAGCTCAATGTTTAAAAATCAGATATTAGAGACAAGAACTTAGAAAATATGCTTAAATGTTGAGGGGAAAAAGGCAAACAAGCCCAAATAATACCTGCAAAACATACGTAAGTTCTCTGTAAAATGTAATTTATGAACAAATTGTAGATGTAACAGATAAAATGGCACTTTTTGGTGTTTTAAATCTTCAGGGATGTGTTTGTACCTGAAGGTTAATCTATAAACCAAATGTGGAGCTCTGGAAATGTGTTCAAGTAAGTGGGCTGTTTTGGGAAATCAGTGCTCATCTTTATTATCAGCTATGGATCTAGCTAAGTATCCCAACTCAGCTGTCTGGTGGATACCCTTTGGAGAAAATGTGGCCAGTACTGTAATAACTTATGAAAGTGTGTCACTGGGGAAGAAGGCAAAGCCACAGTGTCACAGATGATTTAATTGTAGTTTCCAAAACCAAAACACCCACAATAAAAAAAATAGGAAACAGGCACAAATTCACTAGCCCAAATTTCTCTTCTGACACACGTGCACCCAAGTTCTGAGTGGTCCCCTATATTTCCGATGAAACAGGCTTCTACTTATTCCTTTGCTGGAGGCATTTTTGTTTGATTAACAGAACAAAAGGTTAATCATATAAATTTGCCATGTCATAGCGTTCTGAAGCAGGAGAGAATAGGTGGCTCCTTGTTCTCCCTGCTCAGCTCCCAGTCAGGTTTGCTATATGCAATGCAAACACGGAGTTTTCCCTTAGGCCCCCGTGACATACTTTTTTCCATGTATTCTTGGCAGAAGGTGAATGTTCCTCACATTTGTGGCTTCATTTGTCTTAGTGGAGGTTTGTAGATCACGTAATGGGTACGTGAGCTGTGCAGGAGCTTGTCATCTTTTCTCTGTCTCTGTAAGGGACTATAGCAGACGTGCAAATCCCTGCCCCGTTAGGAAGGAGCTCTAATTGCTCCTACCTAATGTGCATCTATGATTACAACAGAGCAATGGAGTTATTAAAGAAATCGTGGCATACTTGGAAGCAGATGGATCAAGGTTGTTCTTAATACCATGTTAATAAGATATTATTTTAATTCCTTGTCTGAATTTACCTGGTAGTTTTAAGTTGGCGTCTATAATTCTTTTGGACAGACCATTAGTTATGATTTTCATATCTCTTTGTTGTAAAGACAAACTTCACACCTGAAGCAGCAGACTTTAATCTCTGCAAGTGACCTACATTTATGGTTACGCTTGCAACAAAAAAAAATTGCGACTTTGAATAGACGCCCTGGGAGTATAAAACACAAAAGTCTAATTCTGCTCTATGACTTGTTTTCATTTGGGGGCTCTGAAATTCTCGTTATGCACTCTTTGCTTGGGGGGTTGCTGCACTCTGTCTTTAGAGCCCTGGTGCGTGCGCATCGCGTGGGCACTGCTGACGGCAGAAACGCGCCGCAAGCCGCTTTGCTACCTGGCGTCCCCGGCCCTCTCGCGTCTACAACACGCACGATGTGTCTCACTCGATGCGGAGAGCCTGCGCGAGCTAGCAACTTGTTTGTTGTTTGAGCTTTATGACTAATTTTTCGGTTTCTCTGCCATACTGAAAAGATCAGTTGCTTGAGATTAGACTGAAAAGCCTTTTAAAACATTTGTTTTGGCAAAACAAAAAAGTTTTGATGGAATAAAACATGTGATCCCGCATAAGGTTTTTGTATATTTTTCAGGAATTCTTAAACATTTCCTAGAAATAGGATATGGCGAGTAGTTTCTCGACAGAACATCCTTTTCAGGTTCATACTTGGTATATTTTAAAATACTAGATGCTTTAATGTATTTTCAATTTTTCTTTCTTAATAGAAAAAAATTTTGCAAATTCAGCATGAATGCAAAATCTGGCAACTACCCTCCTCACACAAAATGTCTCCTGATTTTAGTTGCTATTCTTAGACATCTGCTTTGTCCGTAGGTATGTCTGGGGCGAGGTGACGTGAAAGCTGTCTTGCTTCTCATCTGCTTTTGTCACTCTGCCCAGATTGTGTGCTGAGGGGTTTCCAGAAGTTCGAGTAGATGGATTGTGGGGGTGGATGGTGCTTTGTTTGGTTTTCTTGAGTTTTAAGAACACATACATGAATCGGTCACATCTAAAGGGACTCCCTGGATTCAGAGGTTACCTGCCTGAGGGATGCCTCGAGCACTGTGAATTGCAGTTCCTGATAAGTCTTTTGCCTTACCTATCCCTAACATTTAGTCTCTGAACACCTAGCTGCGTGGCCACCGACGGTCCACTTGTGACCGCACCAGCTCTTCTACAATTGCTTCTAACTGGACGCAAAATACCTGCTAATCTTATGTGGGTTTGACACTCCAGAAGTGAACAGTTATAAGGGTGCCCATAATCGTATATATTTTCTGCCCCTAAACTGACAGGAAATCCCCTCAAACACATATTTTAGTATATAACTGAAAATGCTGTTTTCTGTGGTACGTACACATACATCCTGTGTAAAGAGGAAGAGTGCTGATGGGGGCCGTAGAGAAAGCGACTAAAACCAGCTTTGTGGGCTTTTCTGTCCCTCACCACTCCTCTGTATTGGAAGGATGCCATAGGGATAATACAATGAAAGTATGGAGATGCATTCAGGTAGCTGCTGTTTATACAAGGTGAAGAGGCACATAAATCCAGTAGCTGAATGATTCAGACCTGTCAAGCCTCATGCATTATACACAGGACCTGCCTCGGCTTAGGGACAGCCGGAGAGGCCGCGGTGCTGTGCTGCCGCTGGAAAGCTCCGCTGGCCGGCAAACCTCCCTGGCCAGCACGGCGCGTGGCTCTTCGTTGCGTGACCCAAGCAGACGAGTCTCATGCAGTGGAGTAGAAAGAGTTGTGAGGTCAAAGGATTGGCAAAGACCTGGGCTTGTCAGGAAAGTTTAATCTACAAAATGAAGACAGAGGCTCTTAAATCTCTTGATTTAAGTAAGTTGTAATAAACACAAAATAACTGCATTACGATGTCATTAGTATACATAGGGCTAAAGCTAATTTTATAATCAATGTATAAATTATCACATATAATTGAAACGTGGAGCTAGTATTTGCAGTACCACTGTTTCCAAGAATGTATCCCCCTGAAATGTGTGAATTGGGAAAGTAGTGCACGATGCTAAAGTCTGAACAAAATGCTTCCCTCCCTGTTTTCATACACAGGATTGTAAGCATTTTTCCTTTTGTGTTTCAATAACTTAGAAGACCTGATAACTGCACAAAAATAAGACACGTTTATGTGAGTCATCAGGGCTTTCTTTTGGTTTTTTGGTTTTGGTTTTTTTGTTGTTGTTGCCTGGTTTTTTAGCATATTGGCATTCCTCTGAGTTGGTTTACTATGTTTTCCAAAAGATGCTTAATTGAAATTTGCTGCAGTCTCTCCCCAACCATTGTTTTATCTGTGCGTGGCCTATTTATTTTCCATGACTTTGTGTCTCCGGCAGCAATGCACCTCCTGGGGCTGAACTGGCAGCTCCAGCCCACGGATGGACACACCTTCAACAACGGGATGAGGCCGGGCGCAGCGGGCACCGAGGATGTGGCGGCGGTGCCATCGGGAGGCAGAGGTGAGGCTGCGGGCCAGGCTCTCGCCACGCCACGCGTTTAGCTCTCTTGCAGCTTTTAATATAGATACTGACATGGAGATGTACGCAGAATCTGTTTTCTTAAGTCTGTTTCTAGTGTTCATGGTGTTTTCTCTGTTTCTGCTGCTGGTAGTTGTTTGCTGGTTTGCTGTGCAGCTACGGCTGTTCTTACTCTGTCCCCCTGTGCATTGGTGCAGAAAATCGTGTAACCTCACCTACTAATGGAGAAGTGCTCCCTCAGCTACTAATGAAGAAGTAAAAAAAAAATACATGTACATTTTACTAGGTGTGATATGTCCTGTTTCCATGTACAGCATAGAGATCTCAGACTTTGTGGGAGAACTACATTGTACTGCTTGGGAGAAGACAGGAACTTTGGCTTCCAGCCAAGACCCAGTCCCTGTGGTTTTTTCCTTCTCAGCTGTAATTCTAATAAAAAACATCAAGGACAGCAGAATTTGACCCATAGTAAATAATCTGTCCAGTGATACTAGTATGAACAACGTGGGCAACAAATGGATCTTTTTTTCTCCTAAAGAAAAATTGTGTTCCAGTGGAGGATGACAGAGACAGGGCAATGAGAAGGATATGGGGAAATGCAGAAACAGAAATACTTTCTTAAACTGAGAAGGCATATATTAAAAATACAGATAAATTACGTGTCGTGAAAAGTATTTTAATAATTTAAATTGAATGCCTTTTACTGATGAGGTTCAGGTGTTTCTTTGCTACATCGCGATAAGGCTCTCCCTGGTTATTACAAAAACTATGATAAGAAGACCGAACAAAACGTTTCAATTAGTCCAAGCACCTCACAGGCCTTAGTGTACTGTGAAGGTGGGATGGGGTGACTGAAACAGAAGAGAAGTAAGAGCATGTGCTATTCATGCTATTCAGCAGAAGAGTTTTGTTCGGACCTGAGAATCGTCTTGCTCTCAAGACCTGTGGCTTGTGTTTAAACTTGCTCATTGCCAAAGCCAGTGTTAGAAACAAATGCTAACATAGGAGACTTGCATTGGATGTGTTGGAAAAATTGAGCTGAAATAGAGCTGAGAAAGGAAGCTGACTTGTTCTTCGGAGCGCCTGATCATTTCAGGGATTTGCTTCTGTTTTCAATAAATAATACTGCTGCACCTCAGCTTCTTCATGTTTTCCATGGAAGGACAAATTTTGGCTTCCTCCTTTTCATGAAATTATACACCCTAGTGGTGGCAAAAAACCTGTAGATTTTCAGACAGCGGTTTGTCGGCTTGGCTTTCATCTCTGGCTGGCTGTAGGTCAAACTGGACGAACAGCACATCCCTAAGTACCAGGCAGAGTGTTTGTATTACTGCTGAATTTCTTCCAGATTGTGCACAGGTGAGAGACCCCATGGTTTTAGGCAGGAACCTGAAGAGCTCGGGTCTGCAATTACGGTCACTTAGCTGACAACTTCGGTGTTTAACACGTTTCCAAATTCCTTCCCCCGCAGGTTTTTGTTGCCATCTCTGTGCAAATATAGGGCAGCAGGATTGTTGAATTGGAATGTGCTCATCTGCCTGGGGCACTTCAGTGCAAATTCTGGCAGTTTATCTCAGCCCCACTCTAATTAGCTTTGCACATTTGAAGAGGCTGAGATGCCGGCTGTTTTGGGAGTGGTAACCTCCTGTAGAGGAGACAAGGAGACAGAACTGCTAGTTATGCCTTAAATTGCTACAGTTAGCTTTCCTCAAAGCATGTTGGAAAAGTTTACTTGTTCTTCTGACATTTTGTAGAAGGTTGCTGAAATGTTGATAATCTGGGGAAAAGGGGAGAACAATATTTGGGCAAGTAATCTTCCACAGTGGAATAATATGAATGACAGGTTTGGATGAACACAAGGAATATCTAAACGGCAAATTCTTACAGTAGCGAAGAGTGAAAAGTTTTTCTACCTCACCTTTCCTTTTATTATGTCCAAGTTAATATTGCTATCCCAGCAGTTTTTAGGAAAGCCTCTGACAGCTTTTAACACAACAACCATTTCAGGGCTCAGGGCTCTGGCTGTGGAGAGTGACCTTTCTATAATTGACACAACTCAGGATGAAGCCATTCTTTTCAAAACATGGGTCTCCCAAAGAAACCTTTAACCCCGAGACTGAGAATGGCCACTTAAACGCAAGCTGTGCCTACTCAGCAAGCAAGGCATTTTAAAGTAGAGCAATTTGAAAGGGAAAAAAAAAAGGCAGATACTTCAATTTGATCTGCTTGTTCCTTATTAAGAGACTAAATTCTGGTATGAAATAATAAAACTGCAATTTAAGAGGAAAGAAAATTACTTTATTACTGCATTTTCCTATCTGAATGAAAACAAAAGTCACTGTTAAGATAACAGTTGCAGGTTTTTTGTAATTAGACACTACATCTCTCTAATACTGGGGATGTCTGAAAGCAGTAGGCAAGTGCAATAGGTAGAAAAATTCTCAGTGCTGCTGTAAAACTGCAAGTGAAGTCCACCATGCTCTGACTGTAAACAAAGAGATAGCTTTTTGGTTTTGCCTTTAGGCTCTGGAAGTTGTGCCAAACTAGGGATTTAGATTAAGAGACAAAAGTAAAGAAAAATTCCTTTCTTAATACAAATTATAAAGTAGTATCCCTTCATAGTACATAAAAACCAAAACGCTGGCACTGCCATGGAACTGTGGAATTCCTAACAGGGATGAGATAGACAGTAATGACATTAAAGAAAGGTTTCTGAGAGTGAAGCCTATTTCTCTATTACAGCTGCATAAGGATAGTGTTAGAATTTTGGTGTAATAAATCTAAATTAGGGGGAAAAGTTAAAAAAAAAAAAAAAGCCTGTTTGGGAATAATTGCTTCTTCACAAAAAGTGAATTAGATGACTTTATGGGATTTTTCAGTGCCTAGATTCTGTTAATCCATGCCAAAAATATATTCTACATTTAAAATTATGTAGTAGGCTAGACACACATTTCCATAAAATATGTGACTATGTGCCGTTTCCTTTCTAATTGGCAGAATATACTATAAAAGTCAACTTGAGTCACGTCAGAGGACACCTAAGATAAACTACCATTTATGTGGAAATATGCAAACTAATTCCAGCCGCAAATCCCAACTAAAGAATTCTTCGGTGTAGAGGTTTTTTTATTTATGACATATTGTCTTTGGTATGTTCACAAATTTAGCAGATTTTCTACTAATTCAGAATTGACTTAGTATTTTTTATCTTGATTGTTTGCTATAGTAAGGTTCCTATAAAGCTGAGAAACACAGTAAGAGATTGTGGTCTCTGATCCTAGGAACCCACATTTTAAAAGACACCAAAGATGTGTAATTTTAAAGATTATGGGCAAGGATTGTGGACCTGAAAGATTACTTCCGTTCCCATAAATATACTGACTAATTGGAAAAGGTAGATTTGAATTTGTGTTCTGATAACTCACGTAATCCAGGGTCTGTGTCTCTTTGGACCAACCATCTTGATCCAGGTTTGTGCTCAGTTTGAGATATTTCACTAAGTCTGCTACAGTGTGTGTGGCTTTTGAAAAGACAAATACAGTTAGTTAAATGGTAAAGTATTGAAGCGTCATGAGAAATACTTGTTTCCAGTTATCAAAATCAGCATTGTAAATATAATGGCAATAATGAAATGAAGAAGGTTAAATTTGCTGTTAAATTTTACACCATCTTTCTTGCTTGAGATGAGAGGGGAAAAACAGATCTCTACTAATCTAGCAGAAATTTGCCCTGAAAAGTTATGGAAAGCTAAACTCAGCAGTCATTGGGAAACTGTATATGTTGTCTTTGTGCTCTCCCAATGATGTTGAGACCTTTGCCAGATGCTGCAGCTCTGAGTCACATTTTGGTTTGCACAAAGAAATTATTATTTTCTAATAGTTAAGATATTTTATTAGCAATGCAGCAGACATGCTCCTGCTGAGACCTAGTCCTACTCATCAGACAGCATATGGACCCGGGAACAACTGGAGGGAGCTGTTTGTCATGTTGCAAAAGGTAAAAAGATGAAAAACTTATACCTCATTAACAGTGTAAACAACATGAATCTCTTGGTTTCTCTTATTTCCTTTCAGACGCTTTGAAACAGATGATCAAAATGTAATAACAGTCAGTGTATTTTAAATGTCACTTCCGTTACCTTCATTCAATTTAATCAAGACATGCCATCATTTTCCAGGTGGATTAATCTTATTAAGGACTTTTGTGGCTAATGTAATGGGGATCTTAATTAACACGTTAGCAAGCAGAAATATTAATATGGACGCTATGAAGGCTTGCAGATGTGGTCGTCTGAAAATATACCAGGCTCTAGGGCTGTCTTAGCAAAAGCAAAATATTTGACTAAGTTCCACAGAACAGAAGTGGAGTTTTATTTTTGTTGATGGTGATAATATGAATTGCTGTGTTTAAAGTTAGATTAGGAAATGTATTGTATACTGTATATTATATACCAGTTGATTGTTATGCTGATGTAGAAATTCATGCTAGTATGTATTTGTTCTTTGTGAAATGCAGTGAACTAGCAGATCTTAATTCTATTTCGGTTATAATTTGCTTTTGATTCAGAAAACAATGAAGCTTGTGAAGCAAGCACACCTACTTGAATGTGAAGATGTGCCTAAATTTTCAGGTGGAGCGGGTATTAAGACATGTTTCTTAATTCCGTGTGTGAGGCCAGATTGTTTGACTGCAGCTGAGCCAGAGCAGTGGTTTTAAGTAGATGCTCTCTCTGCAGAATTTCTTTCCTTTTGCCACAACAGAAATATGGGATACTGACCAGAAAACCTGAGGGTTTGATTTTGTTTCACAAGCTGTTTTACTGGGCTCCTGAAAGCTCATACAAATTCAGAAGCTGCCTTCCTCCTCACTTCACAAAACAGAGCTCATTAGTACCTCAGCATCTTCAGCATAACTGAAGTTCAAGATGTGTCATAGCAGTTTCTCCAGACAAACCCTCATTTCCCGGCTTTTTACTTTATTGT